CCTAAGATCTGGCACTTCTATATCCGGAGAGCTCATTGCAGATGTTCCTGTAGAGTGTACAGACTAGCCAGGGTCAATGCATAGAACACAGACAGTTTCTCTCACTTTTCCTGGTCCTCATAAAGACCTTGCTGGCTTCTGTCTGAAAAACATTAATTTCAAGGTGAAGTTAATGTCCTAGAACATCTAGGTTTTCTTATTTTTGGATGCGCCCTTTTGTTTTCTTTTACAGAGTGCTCCAGAGATGCAGGGTCAGCTAATGAGCAGATTGGTACTTCTGGCAGCAGAGGTTGTGATGGAGTTAGGAGTGAAAGAACATCATAGAGGACAAGATCTATGATGGGAAACAAGAGGAGAAGCAAAGGTGGACTAAGAAAGCCTCCAGACAGTAGTATAGATCCAACAGTTGTGAAAGAGAAGTAGGGAAGAAGCAAGTTGGTTGGATTAGCTTCTGATCACCATACAGGTCTGACAAAGCCATGCAATGACCCTACCGGGAGCTACTGAGCAAATGCAGCTGGGAACAAGAGTCCCAGATTAAGCGGCAATGGCCAAGTCCTACTGCTTTTGCCACTTCAGTCATTAACGAACATTCTTGAGAACTGTCTGGCCTCAGCTAAAAAGCTGGATCCTAAATAAAGGTGCTCACAGCTGGAGGCTATCAACTCACTATACTTCTTGTAGCTGAGGAGGGCTGAGCGTGGTACTTCCACTGTCACTACAGTCATTGTGATCATGACTGATCATTGTGATCATTGTGAGATGTCAACTTGACTTCTCTGGGAACTGCCTAGCAGATTCATGAAGTTCTGGGTGAGTTTGTGGATGATCGGCACATAGGCCAACAAATTGAGGGAGAAAGACCCACCTTGGATGTGGGTAGCACCAGCCAATAGATTTGTGGCCTGGATGGAAATAAAAAGGGAAAGAAGGATGTGCTCCCTTGTTTTTGTATATCAGTCTCCACTTTCTTCGGCTTTTCTACACAGACTTGTATTAGTGACTCTACAGTGAGCCTCCAGACCTTTGATCTTCTACTGAGTTGAATCCTTGATCCCTTTTGTTTTACGGCCTCCGTCTTCTGGCCCAGCAGGTACTGGGTCCTTCAGCTCTCCAGTGTGCAGACAGCCACTGCGGGCTCTTCTGCCTTTAATCCTGTAAGCCTACCTAAAAAATCCTCTTGGACAATCACCCATGCATTTTCTGTTGATTCTATTCTTCGAGAGAGCCCTAACTAATAAGTCATATTTATCACCTTGCCTGGCCTGGCCTCATCAAACTCTGTGTGTGTGAAATATCTGGGCTTCCAGTCTTGGAATAGATCTGACAAGGCCTGGCCTATCTATCTTGGGGAGGGAGAAATAAAGGTAATGGAGTGCCAATTTGAAGAAATAAGTGAGATGAGAATCATTTCAGTAACAACTGTAGGGAACACGAGGAGGTTTGGTAGAAATCATTTGTTTTCCCTAAGCATATTATATATGCTCTATTGCTGTAGGAAGCCTAGAACTGTAGAATGTTAAAGCCAAAAAAGATTTGAGTGTCCAGTTCAATGTTGCCTTCATAAAATAGGAATCCTTTCTAGAACATCCTACACAAATTCACTGTTCTCTTATATATATCCAGTCATGCAAACTATCACTTTAGTCATCTCTGGGGTTATTGGGCTGTTCTAGTTGATAGAATCATAAATTTAATTCAAAATATACCATTCTCTTTTATTTCTGAAATCACTTTAAAAAGATGTCTTGCTCTTTCATTTGTTTTTTGAGTGGTTGATATTTGTTGTCACTGCTCCTTAAAACCAGTGGGAGGGGAAGGTGTGACAGACAGCAGGGTCTGATTACTATTGATCACTAGGGTTTCTTTCCAACCTAACACTTGATAAAGCCCTAAGAACCTCATGAAACAACTCTTCAATAAAAGAGAACTCCATATGAATGACGACAACACACTCACTGTGAAATATTTTTGTACATTTTCTCTGGAGCTCACTGGGGCTCAGGAATAGTGGGACCATCTGCTAAGCCATTTCTCATTTATGTTGAAATCAAACGGGCTTCTACTAATTGGAACCATACTGCTTACATTGAAAAAATACGATCTCTCCAGTGTTTCCCCACTATTAGCCATTCCTGAAGTTGACTGGACATGTTAACACAAACCCCAGTTTCAATAAAGAAAAAATAAAACAAACATGGCAGTTCACAGCACAACAAAGAATTATGTTTATCTTATCTAGCATAAATTCGGGCCCTAAGTACTCACAGTGTGATGTCCTCCATGATAGATGTTTTTACATATAGTATTTAGCTTTATCTAGCTTCACAAGAATATTGTGGAATAGATCTTATAAACTTTCTATTCCAAATCAGGAAATCTAAGCCTTACTGAAATTGAGTGACTCATGCCAGGTCGCCTGGCCAATAATCGGATAAACTAGAACCTCCTGACTTGAAGTCCAGTATTCTGCCCATTCTACCAGCCACGGAGAAATGTCTTAATGAAAATCCTATTGCGCTGTGTGTACAGTGTGCACTGACCTCATTTGGGTCACCCTAGGAGTAAGCCCTTGAACTAAGGATTTAGTTGTGGGTAGTTCATTTAACAAGACAAAGGAATTCCCAAATGCTACAGTGAGCCAAAGAAGGGACAGCAGCCAATAAATTGTGCATTAACGAACCCATTACCACTGCAGGCAACTAAAGCCACCCCCTGCTGGGCAAATAACCCCCAAAAAGGGAACGAGCTAGAGAATTTACAAGTGAACTCTGTTATTTGCTGGTTGAGGTCTTCTTCCAGCCCATGTTAATTTCCTGGCACTAACAACTTCCCACCTGGGTGGAGGAAAAAAACTTCAATCGCAGCATGGAGAGACTCAAGCCCTTGCATTGGAGTTTGAGTTGGCTGCACACTGAAATAACGGGCAAGGGGAAGTGGTTAGGAACCTGGAAGTGTCAGGGTAGCAACTAGGAACCAAATACTCTACAAGCAGCCAACAAACAGAGCTTGACCACCTATGTGTGGGATGATATGAATATGAAAAGGCACAGAGGCCTACTTTCCTGCATCTTGTTACCCAGAGAATAGAGCAGAATTAAGATTTTCTACTACATAGAAAATAATTAAGGTGTGCTAAGTATTGGCAGGAGAAGCCATGAACCCGATTTAACACTTAACAAACAAACAAAAAAACACCTCTTAGTCAATTTTACCTTTTGTTCTCTTTCACTTCTGGCTGTATTTCTTTTTTTCCTTGTCAGAGCCAAATTTTCTGACAGAATGTGTCTAGAGTGTTTCCCCTAGTAGATGATGAGTCCTCTGAGAATGAAACATTTTGTTTTGCTATCTTTGTATTATGCCATATTTGATAGAGAAGAAGAATAGACTTTGTACCAGTCAGGATGGAGTAAATTCATTCCTGCTCACCATTTCCAGTGAATACATCTAAAATCTTCGGGCAAAATACAAAAAAGAAACTAATGAAGACTCCTAAAGTTAACGATGGAAGGCCAACTGGGGCCCTATAATAAGGAATGAGTTCCGAGTTTTCTCCATCTTTTTGGTTTTGATTTATTCATATAGAGAGACCCAGAATAGCAGAGAAGGGGTACACAATAGAAATCTCCAACTTGCCAGCCAGAAAACTAGAAATTGGGGCATCCAGGAGTTGGAGAGTACGGCAGGAAATCATTGTAGGTTTTCTCATTGACTTTGTTCCTTTTTTTTTTTTCCTTGTCTTTCTCTTTGGTCTGGTCCTTTCATGGGATCTGCTGAATTTGGGAAGCTGTGCAGCGGTGGTGATGGTGGGTGGTGGTGGTGGAGGCATCTAAGTCCCTAAGAGACAACCATGTTTTTTCTGGTCAAATAAATTAGGAAAGAAACCCATTGGCCTGAAGATGTAGGGTAAATCTCTTGTTTTGTTTTGGTTCGGCTTTTGTCTTTCTTTTCTCAAATGCTTTATCTGAAGGGTAGATTCATTTTTGTGGAATTTCTCATCAGCAATGGGGAAGAATTCCAACTTTATAACTAGAAGACTTAAACAAGGAGTTTTCTATGTTCATGGCAGCTAAAGACAATGAAGGAAACCTTTGGGGAAGAGTCCCTACATATGAATCAGCACAAGCATGTAGCTCACTCCTGAAATGCACATGGATGGAACAGACCTAAACACAGCACAGGTTTTGGAAAGTGAACTGACATTGGAACCACAAAAACATATGTTTCAAAATTATTTTCATTATAAAATAGAATATAAGAATTTGAAACTTGCCATACAACATATCTAAGGTTCATCTATGGAGTAATCTATAATTATAAATCACTTTTCATTGTCCTATAATATCCATGTAACTGTACTGCAATTTAAATACAATTTTTCTGTAGATTAATATAATGTGTGGTTTGGGTCTAGATGTCCCCTCATAGCCTTATGTGGTCGGTCATAGGCAGGGCTTTTCAGAGGTGGCCAGATCTCAAGTGGGTCATGCTGGGATCAAGGGTGTGTGAATACAAAATTACTGATTGGTCTGGCATAGTTCTGTGTAAGATTAAGAATGTTCCACACTGGGTGTGAGTGCTACCCTCCTCCCAAGGCTGTGTAGCCTGGATAACATATAAGGAACAGAAAAAGGGATGCTGTGGTAGTTGCTTGCTGCTGCTTCACTACTCTGTTGCTTTGGTGGCTTCTGCCTGCTATGAACTATTTCTCCTCTGTGACATCCCTCTGCCATGCCACCTTGCCTTGGACCCAGCCAAATATGAACTGAAACCTCTACAAATTGTGAGCCAATCAAGCCTTTTTTCCTTTAACTCTGAGTGTTGGATATTTTGTCTCAGCAATGACAAAAGTAACCAAGACATACAATGTTATCTTATTAATATTTATTTTGCCATTACAAGCAAACAATAATATTCTCTAATAACTCACACTTCCCTCAAAAACACTGCCAGAAGTGGAGATTCATCAGTGATTGTTTAGACTTCAGTAGATTATTCATCCCGACATGACATACATCCCAAGAACATTGCTCTCCAGGTGGTAAAATACAATGACCTGTGAGGTTAAAATAATAAAAAATGTAAAATAAACTAAAGGTAGAACAAATTTAGTTTCTAGGGATTATTATATTAAACATTTTCTTCTCATAAACTATATGATACATACTATTTGTAAGACAGGGAATAATAGAGGAAAATGCTATAGTTTCTAACTTTTAGGAATGAAAATAAGCAAATAACCACATTCTGAAAGCACATTCTGAAAATGTCATAGTTCCTCCAAATTAGGTACTTACAAACTGCTATAAGAAAAGAATCGATCATGTCTGGTACACTAAGGGAAGACCAAAGCCTAGGGGCAGAATAACAAAAAGCGCCAAAGCCATCTAAAAGAAGATAAGAAAAAGAATGACTTTTAGGGGAGAGGTAAAAGTTTTTGCAATATCAGTGAGACATCAGCGTGAGACACTTCCCATTTCAATACCTCTAAAATATTAGTTTATGTGTAGTACTGGGCTACGTGGGAAGGAGTTGGGAAATAGAGCTGAAGTATCACAAAGGAAAGTGTAGATTATGAACAACCTCATTACTGTTAAACATCTTCAGCTTTTACCCAGCAGTAATTGAAGAGTTTTGAGTAGGGCAGTAACATTACTAATCTTTTGTGTTAGAAAGTTGATTCTGTAGAGGGATAAATTCATGCAGGGTTAATAGGAGCTCAGTACAGAGAAACAAGCAATGATGGTGACCTGATTTAGGTGTTCACAAGGCCACTGGAAAGGATAAGGATAGAAGCAAGAGATATTTAAGATAAGACATTGCCGTAACAGAGTAACTGATTGGATGGAGGCTGAAAGGGGAAAGGGAGGCTCTCAAATGTCTCACAACTTTGGTGTTCAAATTGCTTAGTTGGATGATGTGACTTTTATAGAAATAGGGGATAAAAAAGAAGAAAAAATAGCTTTTGTGAAAGAAATTTAATTCAAATAAAATTGATCAAATTTTGTATGGGATGGAAATATTGGTGGTGCCCTTAAAAGAAACTTTAGGTACTGATATGGGGCTGGAATAAAGTGTAAAATTAATGCTACAGATTGTAAAGTTAGGAGCATATTAGTGGCAGGTGAAATGATAAATGAGGATGAAATCTTTCAAAAACAGTGGACAGAGTGAGAAATCCTTGTGTCACCCTTCTGCATCCTCACTCCACAGGATAATGAGTTTATCTGCTAATCTGGGTCACCTATACTGAATCGCAGCACAAAGAAAGTACAACAAAATGTTTTTAAAATAAGGTGTGAGAAAGAAACAAACAACTAGATTAGAACAAAATCTAGTAAACACCAATATTAAAGAGAGCAAGGCAAGCAGTGAGATACTCTGAGATAATGGTCAGAGAGAGAAAAATAGAGAAAAATGCTATAAAAATCAAGGTGGGAAAGTGGAGAGCACAGCCAGGAGGATCAAATGCTGTAAAATAAGACAAAGACAGAGATGTGTACCACTGCACTAGCAATTAGGAGACAGGACGAAGGGGAGCCAGACTGCAATGCATTTGAAAGTAAATAGGAAACAAGGAAACAAAACCAGAGTGTAGATAGCTCTTAAAGAAAATTGTATAAGGGAGAAAGAAATTAGATGAAAGAGGAAGAGTATGAGGAAGAAATTAGATAAAAGAGGAAGAGTTTTAATTTTCATTGTTTTTGTTCCTATTATTTAATTATTCCTTTTTGATGGCAGAGATCTGAACAGGTTTTTATGCTGCTAGACAAGGAGAAAAGTTACATTTTAAAGAGGAGACGATTGATGGAACAAGATTTCAGAGACTTAACGGGACAATGGAAGAAATGGCTTCACATTTATCATTTTGGCAGTAGCAGATGCCCCTCAACAATCATCTTGGTTTGGGTTTTGGGAAGCTCTGGCTTCAGACTCACCCTGTCTCTGTATGGGTTTTCCATGGGTATCTGGTGCCCAGTTTCTATCGGCTGCCACAGTTCAGAGTGCTTCTTGGCTAGAATGGGAAAGGAAGGAAATCAAGATAGTTTGGTGGGAAGAATCCAACATCTGCTTGTGTCTCGGAGCTGACTCACACTAGCATTGCCTTCATACCCTGCCTTCTTGTGCTGGGTTTTGTACTTTCCTGTGGAGCCTTCTGTATTTTTTCCTCTGAATCAGAGTGGGTTGGGAAACATAAACACAGAGTCATGAAAAACTTGTCCATATGGGAAAGGAAAGATGTCACAGCAGTTTTAGTAGCACATCTGGGTAGCAGTTACAGCTGAGGGGGGAAAAAAGTCTCATTATGGTTAAAAATTTTATGTTTTTTTCTTCCTTTCTTTTCCATTAAACAATCTCTTCTTTGGTCTAAGGTGGAAATTCAGTCAGGCTCCCTGTCCTCAAGAAATTGTTGCCACCGATAGGTAGAAATGTAAGATATCTAATATACCAAGGACTAAGTTCCCTCCTGAGTGGAAGTAAATTTGCAAGCCATTTAGTGTCCCCCTAGCCTAAGAAGTGAAGGTCTCAAGATAAATCAAGAGAGAAATCTGTTTTGATGAAAAAAATTTGATCATAAGTAGAATGAATTGGCTGATTCTTCTATACCACCTGAATGAGGAAGAACAGAAGAAAAAATAGTAGTAGAGAAGAAATGTTATTCATGCCATTTAATACTTGAGACTCTCACTAAGGGCCAGGCATTGGGTTAGAAGACATGTGTCAATGTGAGGGTGGAGAAACTATGAAAAACCACACCATGTCTAGCCACGAATACCAACCTTGGGATCACAGTACTGTCAGAGATCCAAGAAGGTGGTTGAGTTAGTTAGAGTTCTCTAGGGGAACAGGATCAATAGAAAATACATGTAGAATTGTGCAAGGGGATTTATTAGGAGGGCTTACAGGATCACAGGGAGAGTCCACAAGGGCCATCTGCAGGAGCAGCAGCAAGAGAATCCACAGTGGTGGTCTGAAGGATCCAGTAACTGCTCAGCTGAAGGAGATGGAAACTGCAGAACAAAAGGGATCAGGAGCTCAGCACTGGTCCAAGACTGAAGGGTTGGAAGCTCCCTGGAGAGTTGCTGCTGTCAGTCTGCCCTGGTAGGCTGAAGAAACTGGAGACCCAAGTTCAAAGGCAACAGCATGATCAAGACTGGAGTTCTTTAAAATGAGCACACTTTCCTTCTCTCTCTCTCTCTCTCTCTCTCTCTCTCTCTCTCTCGCTCTCTCTTATCAAGGCTACAGACCTATTGATTGATGCCACCTACAACTGGATGGGTCTTTTCTCCTCAGTTTGCTGGACTAGTGTCAATCATCTGCAGATACATTCAGAGCTTTTCTAATCTGCCAGGCTGTTCTTTTTTTTTTTTTTTTTTTTTTTTTTTGTACCAGGGATTGAACTTGGGTCCTGAGCTAAATCCCTCTGCCAGGCTGTTCTTGCTCAAGTTGAGTTGACATATCACAATTAATGTCACAGTAGTAATAAAATTTAGAGCCCCAGATGAAAATATTTTAATTACAGTCAAGTGTGGAGGCTAAGGTGGGAAGGGCTACTGTCAAACTTGGAAGGGTGCGTGCCCTCTTTGGTCATACTGATATAATTTGTTTTCTAAGAAGTCACACTCTTAGTGTATATAGCACATTATTTCTTCTCCCTGCTCTCCTTCCTCTACTAATTAATTCTAACAATTCCTTTCAGACTTGGCTCAGACTCCATGCTAACCAGGCTGGTTTACATTTTTCTTCTAGATTCCTGTACTACTTTGTGCTTTTCCTATGAAAGCTTTAGTCACTCATACTGCAGCAGATCTCTGTTTCTTCTGGGATCCTCCACAAGATTGTGCAGTCCTCCAGTATCAGATCTGTTATGTGCCCCAAAGCTCCAAAATCCAGCACCATGCTCCACCAAAACACAATAGCTAACCTACAGGAAGAAGGGCTCTGAGTTACAGCCAGAGAAAGCGGAAGCGTGATTTGCTAGGACTACAAGCGTTACCTTGGCCATCCTCATTTTTGTATTTTCTTCATTTTCCCCCAGCTGCTATAGAAGAATTATGTACGTTACTGTATGGATATTCAAAGCTTTTCTTCTCAGGAAAAGGTTATTCTTGGGTTTTTCTTGTTATCCTGTGTTTTCAAGGCAGGTGCCCCATAGCCTACCCTGAAAAAAATCTCTTTCGTTCTAGACTTGGCCAGAGAACATCAGCCTGGGGATCCCAAGAGATGCTTTCTGCATTTTCGTGAAGAGATGGATAATACCCATCCCTTCAAGCCATGTGAGGGCCTGGAAGCACATAGAAAGGGTCTGCCACGTGGTAACCACTGAGAAATTTCTCTAGAGTAGCAGGACTTGCAGTTCTCATATTGTTATCATCTAGTTCGGCAGGCAATCTTAAAGAACACCCTTTGATTCTCTGTACGTGCTCATTCCAATATTTTATTGCTTTTCCTTTTTCCCTCATTTATTCATTTCAAAATATTCTATTAATTCTTTTACTATTCCAAGATAAAAGAATTCATTAGGGGAAAAGTCTTATATTTTCTTTCTCAGTGTTGACTAAATGATCTTAGATGAGTGGTCCTCAAAAGAGTGTTGGTCTTAGAAACCCATTTAACTTTTGAATATCGTTGAGGAACCCAACGTACTTTTATTTGTGTAGATATTAGAAACTAAAACCGAGAAATCATAAAAAATATTTTTTTAATTTTTAAAAACAAGTCCATTACATGTTTATAGAAATTGTTTTAAATGTGAAATAAGTGTATTTTCTAAAGCAAAAACAATTGATAAGAAGCATAGCATTGTTTTGCATTTTTGTAAATTTCTGGAGTCTGATTTTAAAGAACACATCTAGATTTTCTTATCTGGTTTCGCAGACAGAATCTGTGCAGTATGTCGTTTGAAGACTATGACGAAAATCTAGCTTCACATAGATATGCAATTGAAAACACAAATAATGTTTTACTAATTCATTACTAATGAGTAATGCTTTTCAGATAGTTATGGGTATTCTTCTTTGATACAGCACCAAAACTTGACAAGAGGTAATTTCTGTTTTAAAATTTTATTTGATTAGTACATGTTAGCAGTACATGAAGGTTATATTGCTCTTAGGAGTAGGTATATTGTACTCCTCACCTCCCTCCCTCCCTTTGTTTCTAGGCTCCCTTTCCTCATTTTAAAAGTTTGTTGCAATTTGAAAATCAGTTACATTTTTTTGTATCTTACTACACTGAAATCCATTGGCATCTTTTCCCCTTTGAATGGATCTTTTTTGCTCATGCATAATTTTAGAACATTATGTACTGGCCATGTGGAAAATATCAGTTCATCGAGCTATATAGATCTTCAAAATGTTGACTCATTTCATTACACAAATATGAAAAAGAGCATTTCTTATTATCACCACTGGTCTCATCACAAAAAGCCCGTACTTGTCTGATGTCAAACTCATGATGGTAGATGCAAGTTTTCCAAAATTTTGGTCTTTGCTTGAAAGCTTGAATTTAATCATTGGCAACAAATACCATGAGCCATTTTCCTGGAAGAAATGTATGACACATATCCAAGTCCAAATAACTGTAATGTGTCAGTTCTCTTTCAAGTAATGATATTTATAAGTACTCCATCACGGACATTTTTCAGTGAGATTTACCTTTGTTTTTATTTTAAAATTGTGAGTTCACAGTATTAAAGACTATAACTATTTCCTAATGCAGTTGGGTGCCACCACCCTGATTCATGCTAAGGCACCAACAACCTTATCTTCTCTGGCCTTTGCATCATTAATTGATATAGTGTCCACACAAATGTTGACACAGTGAAAAAAAGCCAATCACTTCTTTATAGTAATATGAGCACAGTTTTTACCTTATAGATCCACTGACAGTGTTTTGGGTATCCCTGAGGTCAATGGGCCACATCTTAGAGAGACACTGCCAGTATTTTTGTTTTAACTGGTGAAGTAGCTTCAGCTGTTGGTTACACATCAGCCTCACTGGAGAGCAGTCCTGGCTTCTCTTTGACAATGACTGTGACTTCTTTTCCAGAGGACATCTGCCCAGTGTGTAATTGGTGACGCCATCCACGCAAACATGTGGGAAATGAGAGCAGAAGGGTGTGCGGGCTCAGAGGGAGTTGCTGTTTGGGGTACGATGGAAGAGTACAGTGCTGGAAGTAGTTCAGTTCTATGAGTGTGTATTTCTGGTCTTCAGAACATTACCACATACATGCTGTCATACAATTTATAATGTGCTGGAGGGAGGTCACTTTATGTAGTAGAGAAACAGGGCTGTGCAGTCATCTAGGCCTGAGTTTCCATACCAGCTTGGCAGCTACTGTCTATGTGATCTCTCTTACATTACTTTAGCTTGTTGAGTCCTCATTTTCCTGCCTGGAAAATGAGGCTACAGTGCTCAAAACATTGAGATGTTATGCTCTGAAGGGCTAGGACTTTGGGTGGGTTCTGTGATGGGCCACAGAAACTTTTCTTTCAGGAAGAAAGAACTTAACCTCCTAGCGGCAGGGAGTGATGCTAAAGATGGCCCCAAGCTCAGTCCTGCCTGCCCAAGGTTACATTTCCTCTCAAAGGTCAGCCTGCCTCCAATGACTGATCTGGCCAACGTGGTATAATTAGGAAAGGGCCATCTCAGCTCCACAGTTTGCCATAGGGTCAGCAAGGTTTTTTGAGAACTGTATCACAGCTCATTTCTCACTACCCAGATCTACATTTTTCTTCTACTTTTTATTTTTTTTTTTCCACAAGTGGCCTCCCATTAAGGTACTCAAATATACTTGAGTAAAGTGTAATTAGAATTTGGCTTCTGGTTGACTTATACTAAAGCAAATGTTTTACTAATATTATAATTGCTCTTAATAATCTTTTACTCCCTCCTCTGCTGTTTGTAGCTGTTGGTTCTTTGTATGCTGAGTATCCTTGAGTTTCAGGAGAGGAGGTTGGAGCCTAGCACTGAGAAAGGATTTCAGCTTACTCCAAATTGATCTCCATAATTAGAGGGAGGTGCTAGGGCTTGTGAGGAGAAGATATCAAGCTCTAAGAAAGAGACAGGCTGGGAGAGGACCAACAGGATCTTCTCTGGAAAAAAAAAATAATAAAGCGAAGGTCAAGTGTTAAGACATGGCTGGTGAGAATTTTTATACAGTACCACTTGTGTACAAGTCCAGGCTCTGCCACTTTCATGCTTTAGGGCCAAGCTAGTGACTTCATACCTTTGTGCCTCATTTCCCTCGTCCACAAAATAAGAATGGAAAAAAATACCACTTTTAAAGCTTATTCTGAAGATTGATCAAATTAATTGGAAATAAGAAGATGAAACTTTTTTTTGCATTGCTCATTATCCAATGGGAAGTTGAGAAACATACGCAAATTATAGTAATAAGTCTTGTGATTTGGATACATATAGTTTTGCTCCTTGCACAGAAGATGAGTTCTTTAAGATCATATGGGAGAATGAGCAAAATCTGTGGAAATGACAACTTGGGAAGGCTCAAAAGTATAAGATTCTGCAGACCATGAGGATTTCGAATGTTAGGGATTTGCTCTAATTGCAAGGTACAACAAACACCAATAGTCTGTCTCTCTCTCGCCTCTCTCCTTCCCTCCCTCCCTCCCTCCCTCTTCCTTTCCCTCTCCTATCTTCTCTCCTGTCTCTCCTTGGATTACTCCTTCCATAATAGGATTATAATTTCTGTCTCCACCTCTGTCTTGTCTCTGTCTCCATCTCTGTCTTCTCTTGGACATATTTTCTCTGGTAGGCTGGAGGACACTGCATGACAATGGTTACTGTCATACCACAAATATCTCTTTTGGCTGACCTTAAGAATGAAGCATCATGACCTGCTTTTATCTTATGGCTCTTTCCTGGTCAACCTATAGCTTGAAGCACTCTTTGCATGAACCACATTTGTTTGAGTTTTAATATTCACCAAATGGGAGAACTACACTCTTCACTCTATCACCTGTCTCAGGCAGCTAGTCTGAGGAAATAA